ATCAAAGAGGAAGAGGATGGTAATAGCTAAGTGGACTAGAAGAGGAAAGATCCATAATTTTGGGGTAAGTTACAAATGGTCAACCCTAAGTAGGAGTTTCATGACATTTACGCTAATTTATTATACTTTTTAATAATTAATGATTAAATATCAAAAAATAAAAGTAAATTATAATAAAAAATAAATATTGGATTATGACAGGGCGGATTTGGCCCTCCAATGACATCGTGACACATGACATCTTGGAACAGCTGATGACACATAGACACCACTTAAATAATGACTTGGTGTCCCAGATTGCGGTTTCTCTTCGCCCCGACCTGGCGACCTGCCTTCATCGCCAACTTGGCGACCTCAACTACAACTTAGGCCAGCTAGGAGCACCTCGTATAGGGCTGACCTGTAGCACATCGTCACTAGCCGATGTGACTTTGATGCGAGGAGTGACCTCCTTTGAGGGCTTGCCAACCTGACTGAGGTCCAGGAGGCAACCTGCGAGTTGTGCTCACTGACAAATTCGGTATGCATATCCCGACACTCCCAAGTTTCTCGGAAGTTGGCCCATGTACCGAATGTTCTAGAGGATGGTCAACGTGCATGGTAGTTACCTCTGGGGATCTCAGACCAGTTAGGCAACCTCTCGAAAATCTCAGATGCGGTGCGTGAAGCCTACGCCGAACAAAGCCTATATAAGGGCACCAACCTCAATGACACGAAAAGGTACACGCGATTAAGTACATTCCAGTTCTCATAATTTCTGATTTTTAGCTCGCAATCTACTACAAGAGTACTAATTTAAGCATCGGAGCGACCTCGCCAGGTTAGCCACCCCGGGTCCTCTGACATTGTTCCCTTGCAGGTCTCTTCGAAGAGCTACCCAACTCAGCACCTGAGCAGCCTCTTAATTCAATATAGTCAGCTCGGCATCCAAGCCTTCATCCAGGAAAAATACTCCAGCTCGACCTCTGAGTCATCAACTACCAAGAAGTAGCCAGAACAATAGAGTGCTGCCAAAAAACCCTTCATCTGATTATAACAACTAATGATTAAAAATAAGAAAATAACAGTAAATTACAATAAAAATTAAATATTAAATAACAATAAGTTACACTAATTTTGGATAATTTTCAGCAATTAATGATTAAAAATAAGAAATGAACAATACATTACATTAAGAAATTAGATATTAAATAAAAATAAATGACACTAATTTTCAGAAATAAATTGTTGAGAATTTATTAATATTCCAAACATTATTAAATAATACTCATAATTATTATTGGAATATAGCTATTTCAAAAATACTCATAATTATTAGCATAATTATTATTATTACAGTAATGATAATGTAAAAAATGTGAAAAATTATGTTGATGCGGAAACGGATCTTGGTCAGAACACACAGAATCCGATCCAAGACAATCATCATCTTAACCCATTTTGTGCTACAGTGGTCGCTCAACTGGGAGACCACAGTAGCGAGAGACAGGAATAGATCTTGGTTAGTTTTTGAATGCAGGAAAAGAAAAACCAAAACGACTCATTTGATGCCAAAAGCAATTATTTATACCACAACCAATCCATTTGGTTTTAAACATATGGGTTGATTGTAAAAAAACGTCTTTGGTTTAAACGTGCAGGTGCTCCTTTGTTTCTGAGATTTTAAACGTTTTTTGTTTTTTTGGTTGGTTTTTTATCGTAAAAAAACCAAAACAACCTATTTCAAGGTTTTTAAAACCGGATCGGACAGAAAACCATTCTGGGTCCACTTCCTGTCTAGTCCGAATGGACGGCCCACTCTGATAAAAAAAAAAAACACAAAAAACGGCCAAAAACTATTCCCAGATCAAACAATTCAACGGTTCAATCGCCCAAATCAACGATTCACTGTCCAAATCAATGATTTTTGGCCAAAAGCAGTTTTGCGGTAAAACGAAACCATTCAGATGACCAGGTCCCAGTTTTTCCAATCCGACTGTCCGATCCAGTCCGGTTTTGAAAACCAAACCATTCAGATGACACCAGCAGCCATTTAACCAAAAACCAAAGCACATTTTAGAACAGTTCTATTCTTACCTCTTAAAAATATCGACATTGCATAGAACAAATTTCCTAGATTTTAACGTTTGTGTTTTTTTGGTTGGTTTTTGACGTCAGAAAATGGTGCTTTGCCCCTGTGCTAATGAAGGTAAGTTTATGGGTGTCAACAATGAAGTTGCTGTGAGTCTATGTCAACATTAATGAATTTCCAATTTATGTGAGTCAAGAATGTCCAAAATGATTTAAAAAAGAAATAGAGAGAGAACACAAAGGGAAAGAGTTAGAACACAAAGAGTTATTTGACTTAGAATATCGATATACCTAGGGTCGTGATTGATTTGAATTTGAACTTGTTTGTTGGAGGTAGGAAACTCTTAAACATACATGTTCAATCATGTGGACTTGAAAAATTAAAAATTTTGTAAAAATATAAAAGGAGATTTTGAAGCAAAATTTGAAGGGGGAGGGGAGCACAATATACATGTATATAAATAAAATTGGATGGTCCATGTTAGTATGTCTCTCCAGAGAAGTTATTTATCTATTTTCTTAATTTTTTGCATTTTCTATTTTCTTTTGTTTTAAAAATATAAAAAAGTAGCCATTGCTTATCTTGATTAGATTAACAAAACTGCACACTATTAGAGAGAGAGAGAGATGTTTAGGTTTTTCAAAGCTCTTATTTTAATGCACGTTATTATTACATTTCAAAAAGACATTTAAGAGAGAGAGAGAGAGAGAGGGTGGGAGTAGTAATAATAATTACTATATTTTAAAATTTACAGTATTAACAATAATTACAATATTTTTAATAATTATAGTATTTTTAAATAATTATCGATGTTTATTCAAAAATTATATTAAATAATGTATTTATTAATTAACATAATTTAAGTTATAATTTATTAAAAAATAGTATTAACAATTACAGTTAACTGTACTTTTAATAAATACAGTATTTTTAATAATTATAGTATTATTAATTAATTAAAAGTATTTATTAAAAATTTAAAATACTGAATTCATTAATTAACAATATTTTTAATTAATATAGTACTTTTAGTAATTACAATATTTTAATTAATTAACATTATTTATTAAAAATCATGTAATTTTTATTAATAATATTTTTAATAATTACAATATTAATAATTAACCGTATTTTACAAATGTTTATTTAAATATAATTTAAGCTATAAATAGCAAAAAATGTGAATTTGAACTTGTTTATTGGAGGCAGGAAACTCTAAAACATACATGTTCAATTACGTGGACTTAAAAAATTCAAAACTTTGTAAAAATATAATAGGGGATTTTGAAAGCAAAATTTGAATGGGGGAGGGGAGCAACACATGGCTTGAATCTATATCTATCTATCTATCAATTACGATTTTGGCCATTTTTTATTTTTATTCTTTTGTCAGAACGGATCGTTCATTCGATTCAAACGATTGAACCGTTCGACCCAAGAACCGAACCTCTGACCAGTTTGTCATCCGGTTCAGTTTTAAAAACCCTGATTTATATTATTACTACTCTCTCTCTCTCTTAAATGTAATAATAATATGCATTAAAATAAGAGGCATTGGAAAATACAAAGGTCTTTTTCCAATAGTGTGCAATTTTATTAATCTAATCAAGATAAGCAATGATTACTGCTTTATAATTTTAAAACAAAAGAAAATAAGAAAAATACGAAAAAAAATAGATTAATAGTTTCTCTGAAAAAAGAGGCATGCTGACATGAACCGTCCAATTTTAATATAGATAGATATGGAAGATATTTGTAGCTCGGACATGATGTGAGGAAGAGCAGATCCAGACTCAATAGTTAATACCCTTTCCGGGACATGTGGTTCAACTCTTGAAAGAAATACTTGCTTCAGGACAACAGAACCAACTTACCTGGTCATCCAACGGATGAATTTAGGGATTGTTCATCGAGTACACTGATTTTGTGGTGTAATTCCCAAGGATCTGGACCTCACCATGGCTCAAAGGGAAAATATTTCTGTTCCATTCAACCATTGAGTTTGAATTCGATACGGGAGAATTTAGTTTTAAACCCATGAAAACCCACACATCATATCAGCATGAGGTCAATAAGAGAGTGGAATCCACATTCAAAGTGGAACCAATTTCAGAATCAAATTCTGAGTTTCAAAAATGTCAAAAAGTTGTTCCTCTGGATGGGGATATTTACAATTTGAAGTTGGTGAGAATTCAAAATGATACAATAAATTAATTAATTGGAGAACAGGTTTTAACGATTCAAACCTCAAAAATCAGTGAACTTAGAATCATTCTTGTTGGTGGACACCCGAGTCATCTGATTTTATCATCATTTCCAAATTGAGCAAATCCAGTGACTAGTTTTCCTACTTCCTAATGTCCACTCTTTACCATCTTTTGGATTTCAGAAAGATTGAACTGGAATAAAGATGAGGTACAAAGTACAGAGTCCAGATCAGTTGCACAGAAATGCTGTGTGCACACTATGAACAGTGCACTACAGCCACACATCAGGAACATCTCCCCATGAATGAGGACATACAAATACAGGGGATGTTGGCTGTAGTTTCCTGTCCATTGTGGGTGTGCAGTGCTTTGCACGCAGCATATCTGTGCTCCAAGGTACAAACTCTACCCCCTTCAAAAACAACATTCAGCGTATGCAGGTATTTTCTTAGGCTATGTTTGGTTTGAAGGAAAAAGTAGGGAAAGGTAAGGAAACCTTTACAAATCTTGTATGGATTTCCTTACCTTTCCCTTCAAACCAAACATAGCCTCAAGGATTGAAGTTTTGCAAAATCACAATGCAAGAATGACATGATTGATACACAACAGCAAGATTCTCTAGGATTTAAGGATTTCTGAGTGCCAATGGCCTAGTAGTATGGAATCAAAATCATGTCCCCAAGTAGCACTTCACCTCGTTAAATATTGGCACAGAGACTAGATTCAGTGAAATTGGTTAAAGGTAAATTGGCATTAAAGATGTTACTAGATGATAAAATCCCTGCAAGACTACCAAAGCAGGTCAAGCTGACTACTACAAACAGAAACATCTTTGTCAATGTAACTAAGTGCTTGTCCAAAGGGATAAACCAAATGACCTGGATGGAATCAGTGGAAATTCAGTCCTTTCGATCAACATTCACAATCTTCTTTCTTTTAGCTACTTGACTTCTATCAGATTTAGAGGGTGAACGTACTAACACTGTTTCTGTTGTTTTTGCAAGACTGGAAATCAACATCGCATCTCTTAATTTGTCGATTGCTTCAGAACAAAAAATATGCCCTTTCTCATACTGCAAGAAATCAATCAAGTAGGAATTAGAAACATAGAGAGAAGAGTTCAAGGTTTACAGACTGGCTTGAATGTCAGGGACAGTCGTCAGTCATTCAAAGTAGACAATCCCCACCTTGCACAAGGGTAGAAACACAAATATGCTACGCTGTATTATAAATAAATATATACGATTAAGAGCCATTAGTATTTTTAATAGTGTTCTCATGGGAACACTAGGGCCATCTAATCAACCAATCATATCTAAGACATCTTGTAGGGCTAAAACATCTCAATTAGATGACCTTAACCTTCATTGCAGATGAATGATTCATCTGACATTAACCAAAGAATTTAATACTATTCATAGAAAGACCAAAACTGATGAAATTGATTTTATAAAGATAAAATGAGACAAAAAATCCATGTATGAAAGAAAGTTCTACAAAATCCAAAGTTGCATTCTTAATATCTCATAGGACAATAAAAGGGATGAACACTAGTACAGTCCAGCATTTTAGACCTCTTCTTTATATGGGGCCATAAGGACCACCCAATTTGTGGGCACCGTCTAAGACACCTAGCAATGAAAACAAATCAATCAAATGGTCCTAACCCTCAAGCGCGAATTTATCATACAAGTGACAAGCAATGTTTTAAAACGCGAAGGCATGACGCGAGGCGTTCCACTACCTAGAGGCGTGAGGTGTAAGCCTTAAGAGGAGGGGCGTTAGGAGGAGGATGAAGAGTAAGGGGGGATCTCATTTTTTCTTTATTTTTAATAAAAAACTTTTATATTAAGAAGAATAAAGATGCATAAAATTAGTTGAAAGGGGGGGTCTTGTCGAAGCGGAGGCGAGCGAGCTAGCCCCCCAGCCGAAGGGGCAGGGGGCAAACCACTTTCTTTCCCCTTATCTTTTCTTCCCTCCCCTTTCCTTTTCTTTTCTCTTTTCTTTTTCTTCTCTTTCTTTTTCTTTCCCTTCCCTTTCTTTTCCTTTCTTTTCCTTTCCTTTTTTTTCCTTTTTTCTTTTTTTTTTTCATCTTTTTATATAAGATGTGCATGAGGCGCATGAGGCATACGCCTCTAGCACGCCTCATGAAAAAAGCACAAGAGGTGTATGCCTCTTGCACATACGCTTCAAGGCATTTTGGGAGCGCCCCTCCAGGCGTACACCTCCCACACCTTTTAAAACACTGGTGACAAGCCAAAGCCATATCGATTTATGGAAACATCTACAATCTACACCACACTGGTAGTTTTAGTTCACAGCCAAACTAAAGTCCATGTATATATGTAGATTGCACAAAATCTATACTTGCCATTAGAAGATACGGAATTTTCTTAGAACACAAAGGGATAGCACTCTTGTATTTGTAATAGCTACATAACCTATCGTGCATATGGGGCCACTGGGACCTTTTGAATAGTAGATGTCATCAAAAACATATTCTAGACCAGAAAATTGATGGATGAGATGACCCTAACCATCCAACAAAGGGATATCCTATCTTTCATACTTCAGTTTTATTTAATAGGCATCTAATGAAACATTTCTAATTTGGGCTGGTATATTTGTAGCATGGTTCATTAACAAGAATGTGACCACAGATGTATGGCAGAAATCAGCTTTATTACAAATATGATATCATAAAATTAGCTTCCTCATAAGTGAACTGAGGAACATATTGACCGGGAAAAATGGCACAAACAAGACATACCGCTTCAAGCTTACCAAGAGCATTCTCTAACTTCTTACCAAGCTGATAATTTTCCTCTCTTAAGATCTCAATCTGAAAATATTAAACACATTGAGAAGACAAATGGTGCATTTGCATAAATAAACACAAGATGCAAAGCAAGACAATAGAAGAAAAATAACCTTCTTTTGAGAGTCTATGTACATTTCCTTGTACTTGCTCTTTTTCACCTCTGATCTGACTTCAGCCAAAAAAGTGGTTTTAAACCAATCGGCTCCCTTCTTAGAGATAGAGAAAAATAGGATTTTATTACCATTGCTTTGTAGTAAAAATTCAAGAAATAATGTTAATAGGAATAACCATTAACTACCTTGGACATCAATGCTTGATACATCTTATCATGTGATTCCAAAAGTTTAATAACATAATCAACTTTGTCCCCAAGGCTTTTCGCACCTAGGATGGCCTCTGTATTCTTTTCACACTCATGACCTTCTTCATCACTTTCACTGGCATCTATGTTTTCAACCACAGGCTCAATATCCTGAGTTTGAGTAGACAAGATTGTGTTCTGAATACGTTGAGATCGCCTTGGATTAGCCCTTCTGTAATTCAACATTTCCTTCCTCGAACTATTTGCCATCTTGGTAAATTGGATGTCTGTTTTGGCTCCTTCCAGGGAAGGATTTGAGCATTCAGGTTCAGGCTAAAAATAACAAGATTTATATGGTTACTGAATCCATAAAAGAAAGAAGTGTGTCCCAAATTATGCATCACTAACAAGTAAAATGTCTGGTGATTTTAACAAGTAACAAAATCTTCAATCTATACAATCCCATAACAGTAATAACTCTTAAAAATCTCTGGTGATTTTAACAAGTAAAATATCGAAAACCAAAATAGAGTTTTAATAATCTGAAAAGGTTCCTCTAAATGGTTATCATGTCTTATCTTGATGCTTAACCAGAAACACCCTTTGTGACGAGCAGATTATCTACAAAAATGCATAAGCACCTAGGTACTGGCAACCCCAGGTTCACATGAAGTAACTAAAGACATATATCAAACTAATATATTCATGAGATATGACTACAGTATAGGAAAAGAGATGAGCATGCAAACCCCCCCATCCTCCCCAACAAAAGCCAAAAAATAAACATCAAACCGTACAGAAAACCAAAATAAGCATATTTATGGTGGGTAAAGCAAAGTTAGTGAAGGGTTGTGAGAAAAGTATTAACTGCAAAGAACACCTGATCATTTTGTAAGAGGTCTCCTATCACTGCCCCTTCTACTACTCGGGGCCCTTCAATGTTCTTCACAGCTGTTCCTCTACCTTTCAGCCCTTTCCCACCCATCTTTCTTCTCGCTCTCTCTCTCTCTCTCCCTTTCTTTGAGATTCTCTGTATCACAAGCACTCCCTGATTCTCAGACTCTCAGTTTCGAGACTCTCGACTAAACTAAAGGAAAGGAAGTAAGAAGCGTCTCTCTCTCTCTCTCTCTCTCTCAATCTCTTTATAATACGCACTCCTTGTTTCTCATCGGTCTCGACGAGTGGAAAACTATTCCACTTGCCATGCAAATGGGGTTTCTAAAAAAGGGCCATTGGATAACAATTTAATGGAGTCAAATCGTATCTGTACCTATCAGAATTAGGGATGATCATTTCAGCCCGTCCGGCCCGAAAATTCCGGGCTTTGGCCTGGGTTTGTCTTCAGGCCCGGTCCGGGTCGGGCCCGGGCCCATATCAGGCTCACAAATTTTAGGGTCGGGCTTGGGCTTAATACTTCAAGTCAGACTCAGCCTGCATATATTTAAACTTATACATTTAGTGTATAATATATATATATATATATATATATATATATATATATATATATATATNTGTATAATATATATATATATATATATATATATATATATATATATATATATGTTATTGAGAAAAGTACGGAAACACACGATGCGGAATTCTGAATTCCAGCCCCCCCCTACTTACAACTAACCCTCTCCCCCCCTATAAACCACATCCTGCCCGTGAATTTGGCATCAATTCACGGTCAGGATGCATTCCCCTTGTACTTTGGGCCTAGTAAATTCTGATCTGGGCTGATTGGTACTTCTCCCTATGTTATTTTACATTAAATTATATTTTTTATATATAAATATGATATATATAATTTATATTAAATAATGTATAAAATAAGTTTATATGCATATTATGTCATTTAATATAAAATATTATAGATATGTAATGTTTTATATATGAAAGATATTGGCCCAAAATTAGGCCCAATCCGCCCATGATCACCCCTAATCAGAATACTCAACATCGATGCTCTCCAAATTCTGATTGTTAGACTGGAATCCAAGCTTCACCTACAGGCTATCAAAGTTGGGGTAAAAGATTTTACCCCAAATGTACTTTGAGCCTACAAATTCTGACCCCGGGCTGAACTATCATTCTCTCAAGATCTTATTAAACCTTATAGAAAAAAACAATAACCCAATGTTTTTAAAAACCGATTCAGAATCAGTTTCAGTCGACCATCTGGTTCGAACGGATAGGGGTGCAAATGAATCGAATCATGATCCAATTAGATTTGATCTGAGATCCTATCCTATTTGGTCAAATTCGGATCAGATAATATGATCCTATTAGAAATCGGATCAGATTTAGACCACTCCTATTCGATCCGATATATATTATATATTTATAAATATAAATATATAATACATATATATGTTATTTATTTATTTATAAATATATTATTTATATTATATTTTATAAATTTGTTATATTATTTTTTATAAAAACATGTATATATATGATGAAAATAATTAAAAAAATACTTGTATTTTTTGTTTTTCCTTTATTTAAATTGATATATTTTATTTTTCTTTTAATAATTTATTAATTCTTAAAGAAAATAAATCAGATTGAACCAGAGAAGAACCAACTTACAAATAGGATTCGAATTCAAATTGAGACCTATCATATCCAATCGGATCTTCAGATTGGATTGGATCCGACATGAACAATGTCGGATCAAATTCAGATATACCCTGATTTGAATATGATCCGAATCATTTGCATCCCTACAAACGGATCAATCAATGATTACATTTTAAAAATTTTTCAAAATTAAAATAAAAAATTTGCCTAAAGCTATTATTCATAGCGGTGGCCCAAATTTTTGGGTTTACCATACACCTGGCCCAACCCGCCCAACTTGTACCCCTAATTGTTCTGATCAATTGCTCGAATTAATGGGTCATTGACCAATTAGATGGTTTTTGGGAAAATAGTGATTTGGTGGTGAAACTGAAAAATTGAGATTTGCTCCTCATAGAGTGCTCTTTGAGAGCAGATCTGGACTTGAAACGGAACTGGTACCTTGACCTCTTTCAGCTACTTAAACCACAAAGTCAACAATCAGATTACAAGATTTTCCAGATGTTGAACAAAACTACAAGAATGAAATGCAATTTTGCTCTTTATATTTTGTTTGGTTCATATGATGAATGAGAAAATAGAAATATTCACTCAAGATTCCTATTTTTTCATGTTTGTTTTAGGCAAAAGAATGGAATATGACAAGAAGTAATTTTTCAAACTCTGGGACGCAAAGTCTCACCAAATAAGTGTGACGCCACTAAGAAACAAAAGCAATGCAACGAGAGTGAAACCTTCATTTCCACCCCTACAACGATCAGAACTCCGTTCACTGAAACCTTCATCCCCATTGAAAGTAGGGCTTCTGGTCGTCACATTCATCCCCGTTTCACATCTTATAAACGTTTTCTTGTATTGTCTTCGCCTGAAAATACCACTCTTTCTCCTTCTAGTTGAGTTCAGATCCCCAAATGGTAAGGAGTACGTCATCGTCTTATTCTCTGACAAAGGTAACATTGTATATGTATTCCGTTTGTCACATTCATATTTTTTTTGTATTTTTTTATCAACACCTCTTTTTTTCTTTCCATGTGTTTCAGGAGACTAAATCAACCCCTTGTGCCCATAGCACATCTCGGCCATGTATTGGGAACATCTCCTGATGGTAATCYCAGAAATGAGGATATTACCATCGGGAGATGTTCCCAATACACAGCGGGGATGTGCTGAGACGTTGTGGGGGGCAGATTTGAACTCATGTTTCAGTCGCCTAACGACCAAGGAGTCTGAAGTTGTCTTCTTCATCCTCTGCGAAGGTCAGATCCATTGTCTTTGAAGTTTTCTTCCCATGTCTTTTTCATCTGCTAACCCCTTGTTATTGTTGTTGTACATCTAAACCCCTTATTTTTTTGCTCTAAACCCATGTTTATTGTCTAGATCCGCTAAACCGAAAGTGGTTTTCTACAGGTCTAACAAGTATTTAAATTTTTTCACGAGGTATTGGTCCTAGTGACGTAAATTTCTTTTCCATGTTCTCGGATCAACCAGCTCTCAGGTATGAAGTAAATTTCGTTCCAAAAAAAAATAAATCAGACTTTGCCCATTTTGATTAGTAGCCATTTGAAGTGTCCATTCGAATGCTCATTTTACTTGATAAATAAGCCAAAAATCTGAAATGAATTCGATTGTAGTAGCCATTCGAATGCCCATTTTACTTGTATTGTGAAATTAAAGAATCCTACAAAATTTTTTCAGCAACCAAACACTGGGAAACATATTTGGTGGGATAAATGGTCTCAACAACCAAACACAGAGTGATAAGAATGGGAAAATAAATTCTCTTCCCATCCCATCCCTTCTCAACAACCAAAAGTGACAGTTTTTTCACAAATTTCAAATCATGTTTGCACCCAAAATGAGAGAAAAAAAGGGTGTAAACTTTGCACTCAAAGTTGATCAATGTTAGAAAGATATATTTCAATCTCGGGATTTATGTTTACACCCATTATAATTAACTAAAAATTGTATGAGAAGAAAGTAATAACTAAACCATCTTTGCATTTGCATAGACTAGAATGCACTTTACATATTTGTATTTATAATCTATTTGCAATCTTCCCAAGTGGAGCAAGATTTCTACAGGAGCAGGAAGAGCCTTAATAATGAGACTTGAGGGAGCAAACATGATTGAGATTGATAGTGTTGGCATGGACATGAGAGTTTTCTCAGGGGTAGAAATACCAAAATCTTCGTTTCCCTATCAAAGCTTGGGTTGCATCTGGAAATGCTGCCCAGAGAAAGATCCAACAAACGTAGATGAATTCAATGATTCAGATTCTTTTTATACATAACACATGACTGGCCCTGGGATTTTTTCCTTTCAGACACGACACATGTTCTTTCTTTCAGTTCTTTGTTCAATGTTAACGAAAAAGAGGAATGAATTTGTGGTGGATCCGTGGATGTGCCAAAGATTTTATCGTGGGGTGAAGTGACATGACATCTGTGATTCAAGTCTGGATATGCTCCTTATTTTTATTTGTATGTTATTATTCATGGAGATATTTTTAATACATGGTAGGATTAGAGGTGCAAATGGGGTTGGCCCGAATTAACAGATTACATTGTTTACGGTTTGGACTTTGAATAAAAGTTGGCTGAGTCCGGGATTCTTCTTTTGTATTTATATGTTATTATTCATGGGAGATATTTACAATACATAATGGGATTAGAGGTGCAAGTGGGATTGGCCTGAATTAACAAATTATACTGTTTCCTATTTAAACTTCGAATTGGGTCCATTAAAATTTTGACAAAATCCAAATCCTAACCGACAAAAATTGCACATCTAAATGGATGTGTGTGTAAGGTCGATGTACCAAGCGCTCTGTGAGGAACAGATCCTAATTCCTGTGGCTCTGTCCGATGCTCAACGTGAAACATTTGAGACGCTCCAACACAACTGAGATTAAGGTTTGATCGCCTCTGCCACATCTCTTCACAGCACTTAATGTCTAATAAACCAATTGCTTTGCCCCGTAGATCCTTCTAATATCTCATCCGGATCGTATTATCTGATGCAAAATTCACCATCTGCATTTTCACAGTTTCACTTTACCGGTCGATGACCTATGAGTTGCACTAGTTAACTTGACATTGGCAACAAAATGGGGAAATTTTGGATTTCATAAAAATTTAACCAACGCATGATATCATATGCAAACGTTTCTTAACTAATTTGCTAATGGAGTGGAGGTCTTTGTCCAATGACATCACCTGACAGGGAGAACACATTGGCGCATGATAAACCCGAGACCTTCCAGTGATTTTTGAACATGTTAGTGTTTGGTGAACAAGATAAAACATCACGTCAAGTCAGTGACGGATTAAAGCACCGGCGTGTTCAAAATTCACTAGGGGTCTTGGGCTTGTTCTGAATTGGGGGTCACAGGAAATGTGCTCTCCTTGACAAGGGACATTTTAGTCCAATTTGAAAAACAATGAGATGTTTCAGTATTTACAAGAAATCTCAAGGGAGACTGAAGTCTTTTACCCTAAGGGCATGTTTTTTTTTAGATTTTGAGAGGGGGAAAGTTGGTCAATGGGATTTGGTTCTCATTGACCAAGAAACCAATGTTCTTTTTTTAGATTTATGTGGGAACTAGGGAAATTTTATTTTCCTAAGTTTTACTTATCCAAGGAAAATTGGTCAATGGAATTTTGGTTCTCATTGATAAAGAAACCCATGTTCTTTTTCTAGATTTATGTGGTGACTAGGAAAAGTTTATTTTCCCAAGTATCACTTATTCGGGTAAGTGATATCCATCTCCTAGGTGGATAAATAATTTTCCCACTTAGAGGGAAAGTTGCCAACACTTGAATGGAACAAAAAATGCCCTTTTTAATAATAGATTTTTATGGCTAAAATGGTCATTAATTTATTTACATGAAAATGAAAAATAAAAGAAAATAGGTAAATGCACTTATTCGGATAAATGTTTCCTAGTACCTGGATAAGTGCATTTACTCGAGTAACTTACCCAAGCCTAAAAGTTAAATCAAAACATTTTATTAATATCAGTAAATGCTAATATGCGGAAAACATTGTAGACTTTATGCTATGAGAATGAATTATAACCACACAAACCCCCTTGTATTGGCATGTGTGCCACTTTATGATACCAGTAAATGCTAAAATTATGATCGTGGGTTCCATTGACCTTATCTCCCATGAAATGACACACAAGGTTTCCCTATACCCTATTGATTTTTATAGGCTAATATAACCCTAATATCTTGCAGGAAAATCAATGATACTGGAAAGACATAATAACGGAAGAGTTTTGACCAATCAAAACACCCCGTAAATTTTGATGAATACTCTTGATTGGTCATCTTTTTTATGATACCAATTGATTGGCTATGTTTTTCCAGCATCATGTCTTTTTTATATCATAGTCAAATCCTATCCTGTAATGTTAATGAATGTGACCATTACAATTCCCCTTGTATTGGCATGCGTTTCCCTTTATGACACCAAGTCCCACCAGGTCCCACAAAGTGAGAAGCCATGGTTTTTCACTTGTCATATCAAAGACAGTGATTTCTACGAACTAGTAGGATCCATATAGAGGTGTAAGCAAGTTGAACCATTCGTGAGCTACTCAGGGTTCAAGCTTATCTCGTTGAATATTCAAACTTGATTCACAAATAATCAAGTTCAAGTTTTAACTTTCAGCATCCAAAATCTGATTTAATCAAATTGGATGTAAGATTAAGTACCAGACTTTTGAAATCTGTTGACAGCCCTATAAACTTTCAGCATCCAAAAACCCATCCATGAATTTTGATAAATAATACCTGATTGGCTACCACGTTTATGATTCCAATTGATTGGTCAGACATTTTTTTTGGATATCATATCTTAAACAAACTTTATAAAGCTTTGGCTATCTAACTCCGATAACTATCATCATCAACAGGGCTCTCCCACGTTAGCTCACCGAACAATGCATCCATCACCAAACTGTCACAACTCACAAGGTGTAAGATGATGGTGTTGGTGGTGGTCAGAAAATTTTCTCAATTTATTTTTGAACTATAGGTATATAAGTTAGAACTGCCAAGTTTCATTGGCTACAAGCTTCAACTTTCAACCAAGGTTCAAAGTATCAGAAATGTAGAGACTTTCGAAAAGATTTTTTTAAGAGACATATTGCAACATATTTTAAATGCTAATGGATACAGTGGAAAAATTAAAATACACATGGATATGCTAGTAAACTTAAATAAATGCTAAAATTATTTAACAAATAAAATAATTTAATGGTTTTAAAAAGTTTGGGGCATTATTGAAAAAGGTTAAAAAATGATGGAAGAATCAATATATGTATGTATATACCTTAAATCTCAGAGAGTCAATATAATTTGCGTTAATATTGATAAATACATTACAGAAAATTTAAGAATAAAATTTAGCACTTATTAATAAACATCCACTAAGAAAAGAAAATTTAAAATTAAGAATTAAAATGCATACAATTATGACAAGCAATTAGAGTATGGAAAAATTAAAATATATAAGGATAATTTAAAAAGACAGAGTATAAGTATTGGGAACACAGAGTATTGAAAAGACAATTTTAAAACATAAAATGATACGCTTTGGATGCACATGAACATAGTGAAAAAACTACAATACATAAGGATACACTAGGAAAAGTAAAATAATCATAAAACTTACATTAATGGCATTAAATTTAAGTCTTAGATTATTAATTATAATATAAATACGTAAAAAAAAGCACATACATTAAAAATTCATATGAACTTGAACCCAAAACACACATGGGAAATGTTGAAAAATGATATAACGACTAAAATATACATGTATATGCTTATTCTTAGGAAGCCAGTATCATTATTGTTAATATTTATAAATATATGGATTTTTAATTTGAATTTGACTAGGAGTAAGAATGAGAATTAGTGGGAATTAACGAGATAATAAAGAATTAATAATGAGCAAATTTAAAATATCAATATATTTAAAGAAAGGAGAAAAATCCTTAAACCTCCCCTTAGTGTTTTTTTTTTTGGCTTATTTCCCAGAGATTTCTTATGAATACGTTTAGCAAAATTCAGTAGCGTCGAGATCATAAAAGTTTTGACTTTTAAATTAAATGGACCAAATGCCCCCTTTTTGATGGCGAACTGACACTGATTCAACCATTCAAGAAGTAATTACAATTGTTTCCTCCCAGGCGGGGTGATGGATAGTTTTTTTTTTCACCCAATGCCCATTTTTACATGAATGTCCAATTCTTTTTTACAAACTATATGCCCATTTTGACTAACTTGTAAATGGTCACTAGAAGTAGAAGATCTACCTTCTCAAGTCAGAAGTGAGGCCATGACCCATGTAGCGTTTAGCAAATCTTATAGCACAACATGCGTCAAATGAAGTTTGGAAACTGAAACTAAGCTGCGAACCGAAGTAAAACACAACAGTTGGTCATGCTTGTTTCCTGAGTCACAGCGCTGGCCCGCCCATTTCTTGCCCTTAGGGAGCACAACACCTTGCTCCAAGCGGCGTGCATATTTTTCTTATATCCCCAGAAACAGAGACATCTCCATAAAGCACGCCAAAGAACTTTTACGTGTAGCTAACAGATTCGATAGATTTGTTTTTGGCTGCAAAGACCAGAGACCAAGGATAGATAATAACCATATAACCGGTGGGGAAATGAGCAGCAAAATTTTCCCAAGTTTAAAAAAAAATGGTGAGATGAACCTCCTGTTAATTTAAGAACAACTTTTACAAGAATCAGTTCTACTGGTACTGGTTGTAGCAAAGTCCACGAAAATTATCGACGTATTATCCTTTGTCCTCAAACTTCTTGCTTCATCCAAAATGAAATTAGCAACTTTTTCAGCAAAGTTATCCCCATCTGCAGAGTAATTATCTCTCATCTGTGCAGCTCGTACAAAAAAAATTGATTTGTCAGAGTAGAACTGTCAAACGTTTCTCTTTTCTAGGCTTCATTGCAAAACTGGACAAGAGGGGCAGTACGGCTTACCTGAAAGACGAGCTGCATTGCCTTCTTAATGCTAATGACGTCCCATAAGCCATCGCTGCAGATTTATAGAAATTGCAATGAATTCATAATTCTATAATGTTGATACAACAAAAAGTTAAAAAAACTATTTCTTTTTGTAATCAGTTAACTGGAAATGTTATGCAAAAGAAATCCAAGGTAAACGATCAAAGTTTACATGGTACAAACTCCTTGCTATAAAAGGTTTTGAACTGTGAGAAGTAGAAAAGAGCTGGAAAAAAACGGGACTATCCTTTCAGATTTTTGAATATCCTCATGACATATATTGCATGTGGCATAAGGGAAGATAAGCATCTTAATAATCCCAGACAAGTCATGGCAGACCCAAAAAACAAATGAATTGACTGATTGGTTTATAAAAATAACAAATTTGTCCACCCCTACCCCTAGCAGTGGCATTTGATTGATGTTAGGTTGGAGCATTCTGAAGGTGCTAGGTACTAGTAAAGTCTCTCGCTAGTTGTAGCAGAGACTAAACTTGGGAACAAATCCCACCTTCACTGGGGTTTGGGGAGGGCTACCCCTGTAGTAAAGCCCATTTACCTACCAAAAAAAATTGAGCATGGGGTAGGAAGTAGCCAATGAGACAACCGGATCATGAAATAGACCAAATGGTGGAATAATGGGGAAATCACAAAGAGAAATTATGAACGGCACACACATCAAAAACATAAACAATGTATTGGAAGCAGAAGCACCTTGCCAATAGTGCAAACGCCTTGCTTGCTTTTTCTATATGTACAACTTGGCTGATGTAAGGCTCTGAAGTAAAGCGAAGATCCTGTTCTTTCAAGAATTTGTCACCAAGCATTCGGGCAAGGTTCATACCTGAAACCATAGGAATCAAATGGAAAGGGTTAACAGATTATCGATTGACCAATTGTCAGTTTGCCACACCAGATAAAAGAACAAGAGGCATCACCACACAGCCGTGTTTCACCATCTCTCAATGGTTCTCCTGTCTCGTTCAGGCGGATCCGTTCAGATTTATTGGTTATTCTATGGTCTTCTGTCATCTTAATCTGTTTCCCACCAATACTGCTACAAATGGAATATCTTAATTAGTAAGGACATCATTCGAGTGAACACCATACAGTTGTAATAATGATAATCAGATATTGTAAATCCTAAAGATACTTTAAATCAAGGATACAAATAGGATACACACAGGAACTAGGCAGTTATGAATAATTTCCACTGAAGTGTTCCAGTTTCCAATTTTTCGTCATGAGAAAAATATATACACCCTCGTTGCCCATTCCAGCTTTTCTTAAAGGTAGTTAGACTTAACAGTTTATGAAACTACACGACTCCAATTTCCAACCAACTTGCAACTTGGGTCATGATTCCATGAGGGTGACCCTCACAGTACAACCCCAAAAGAAACAGTTTGGTTTGCCAAAGAGGGGGCATCATTTCAACATAAAGATCAAAATTCAATGGTCTTGAAAAGGGACCACCATAGGAGCACCCCCTCATGGAATCATATTCCTTTCAATTTATGTTGACCAATTTTAGATGAAGATAGTCTTCAAACAATGACTGTCTACTCATAATTACACATGCACACATGCACCCACCAAGCCATACCTTACAAAACAAGCATCTTGAACACATACCTTACAAAACAAGCTGAATCCCCAACATTTGCACATTGAGCAAAGAAATCCTCAGGGCCATGAGCCCAGACCAAAAGCACAGTTGCAGTACAACCCTGAAAATAAGTGAATATTTACAAACTTGCACCATCATGAACTATTCAAGCAGAAAAAGAACTTGGAAAAATTGAGTAATATAGATACACTCTAAAATAAGTAGAACTAAAAGGGAGTACTGTAGTCGAGAAGCCAAACTCCTTTGACACCTTGTCTTTCAAATGCTCTTCAAGCTAGTACTGTAGTGATCTCTCCTACTAGCCAAAGGGAAGAGACTCTAATCCATTTGGGGAACATTTACAGGTTGATAAAATGGTGGTACAGAAAGCAAACTAGGAACTGCACAGGGTTGTGCTAGGGAAGGATGCATGTTTTTGCTTGACAACCAAACAGGGTAAAGGTTTTACTGGTGACTCTTCTCTTAACTTCAGTTAGCCTCTGCTATTGCAAAGGAAGCTGGTTCACAAGCAACCAAAGCATTTGTCCATCCCCCTGGTGTTCCTCCAGGTAGCCAGGTCCACTCAGTTTTGGGTACTGATGTTTACCCCTGCCTGTTTCAGGACTACCAGCTTTCTAGCTGCCAGCAGAAACCTAACTGCCTAGCACTGAGAAAGGAAATATGATAGAGGTTGGGAGGGAGAATGGTGTCAAGGGACTATAGATTAAGGACAGAGAATAATGTGAAAGAATTTGGCAGATGATCTGTAATTTCTTTGAAAAGTTAAAGCAGAAAGAAATGGGAGGAAGGTTAGAAACTGCTCCTGGGGTTGAAGACAGTGGAGTTGAAGAGTGTAGTGCTGAAAGTGAAGGAGAAGGGAGGGCAGAGGAAGAGACAGCAGAGCAATCCTTACCCATCAAAAATGGGGATCCATATTACAGAAACAATGAAGCCAAGGTGTTTGAAAGCAAAAATGAAAGGAGGGGAAGAAAAAGTTGTCAGACATGGAGAGAGAAACTAAAGAGAGATAGAGAGTGATGAGGAGTTTAGTGCAAGAGGGGAAAGAAGGAAAGAAACTCATTAGAAGAGGATTGCAGCTAGGGCCTTTTTTTTGGAGAAAAGTTAACTGGTTTCATTAAGAAAAGATAGGAGTACACAAGAGGGTGTACAAAGGAAACAATACAAATAGAGAGCACACCCCTGAATTTTACACAGGAGGGATCTTATCACAGTACAGAACTTCTAAAAGAGCACCTATTTTTGCTAATCCATCTGCAAGAGCATTAAGTTCCCTTGGAATCCAGCACAGATTTGCGTTTGAAGCTGCCAGTAGATCCCTTGCCTCTTCCAGAAAGTGACTGAGTCTCCATGGCCCAGCTTCCTGTTTTCCTAGCCATTTTATAGTGTTAGCTGAGTCTCCCTCTATGGATAGGTTCTGAATGCCTAGACTGTTGATTAATCGGATTCCTGTAAGTGCAGCCATCACTTCTGCCTTTGTAGAGTCAGCTACTCCTATTGGCCCACTGTACACCCAGCAAGTGTACGCATTTTCATCCCTTAATACTCCTCTGATACCAGCTGCTCCGGGAGAAAAGGAAAAACCAACATCCCTGTTTAGATCATTTATAGAGACTCCTTTGAACTTGTCTGAGATGGAAGCCCACTGATTACAGAGATATGTAATGTGAGAGCTCAGATCAGTCTTTGATTTGGCCTTATTCTCAAACAGGTGGTTGTTCTTTTCTTCCCAAATTCCCCAAAGTAAAGCATGCAATACTATTTGCCAATACACCATACCTCTTTTACTCGATCTTTTGCCTTCCCATTGATGGATCAAGTCCTGGAGGTGCATAGGAGCAACCCAGCTATACCCAGCTAGCTGTAGAAAATGGTTCCAGATGTCCCTAGTTTCCTGACAGTGGATGAAAAGGTGATCAGTGACTCCCCTTCTCTCAGGCAAAGGATGCAGACACGAGGGAGATGAAAAGTCTGCCAAAATTCTTCTTTTGCAACAACTCACAGGTGTTTATCCTATGCAGGCAGGCCTCCCAAACAAAGAAACACACTCTGGAGGGGATGTAGTTGCACCAGACCTTCTTGAAAGGGAAGTGACAGTCCTGCTCCTCTGCAACCAGAACCTTGAAGAAAGATTTGGAAGAGAACTGGCTTATGGGGTGGGGTTTCCAGACACGGGAGTCTAGGGAGGTGGGAGAGATGTAGACTTCTCTAATGGAGAGGAGGAGTTCAGTTAGCTCACTGATCTCCGAATCCCTTAAAGGTTTTCTGAGGCTCAAGTTTATGTTGTTCTCAGTGGGAGAAGAGGGGAGGCATTGGGAGATGGTTGCTTCTTTGTTTAGGGTAAGGTTAAAGAGTCTAGGGTAGGAAACTGCTGAGGTAGAGCTACCCCACCACAGATCAGTCCAGAATTTTATTCTAGTACCATTGCCCATTTTAAATCTTATGAGAGGAGAGAGGTTGTTATAAGTTGAGATGATACCTTTCCAAAGGCTTGATGAAGTTACACGGTTTGAATGAAGGTTGCAGTCCCAACCATTGGTGTCCAACCCATACTTGCTGGTGATGACTGCAGCCCAAAGGGAGTTTGTCTCTGTAGGGAATCTCCATAGCCATTTTCCAAGTAGCGAAGTGTTCTTCTCTTTGAGGCGACCAATTTCCAGTCCTCCAGCCTCTTTAGATTTACAGGTCTGAGCCCAACTCACTAAATGACTTATTTTCTCCCCTCCACCTTCCCAAAGGAAGTCTTTGGAGTTTCTCAATCTGTGTTCTGATTTTGGCAGGAATCTGGAACATTGAGAAGAAATAGATGGACAGGTTTGCAAGGGATGCCTTAATGAGTGTTAGTCTCCCTCCTTTTGATAGATAACAGTGTTTCCAAGTGGCTAGATTCTTTTCACATTTTTCCAACACCGGCTCCCAGAAACTTGGACATTTTGGGTTCCCACCCAAAGGCAAGCCTAGATAAGTTAGGGGAAGGTTTTCCACTTGGCAGTTCAGAATTTCCTTGAAACTTTCCAAGAGAGCTTCTTCAACTGAATTGGTTGTCACTATACTACTCTGTGTAGTTAACCCTGAACCCAGTGGCTAGTTCAAAACAGTTCAGAACCCTTTTCACATTTGCTATGTTCTCCAAATTAGCTTCTAGGAAGAGAATAATATAGCCTGTGAATTGGAGGTGGGAAATGTTGAGAGCACCTCTTCCTACTTCAAAACCTTCTATTAAATTTAGATTTTTTGCCTTATCTACGAGCTGGCTAAAAACATCCATCACTAGAGTAGAGAGAAAAGGGGAGAGAGGGCATCCCTGTTTAGGGGTGCAAATGGATTGGATCATGATCCAACCCGATCCTATTTGGTCGAATTCGGATCACCCTTGGTCAGATCTTCGGATCAGATCCTATGATCCGATCAGAAAAATGATCAGATTCGGATCACCCCCCTATCCAATCTGATGTGGTATATATTTATAATATATATAGTACATATATATATGTTATTTATTTATTTATAAATTTGTTATATTATTTATTTTTTATAAAAACATGTATATATATGATGAAAATAATTAAAAATACTTGTATTTTTTTGGTTTTTCTTTATTTAAATTGGTTTATTTTATTTTTCTTTTAATAATTTATTAATTTTTAAAGAAAACAAGTTGGATCAAATCAGATCCGAAGATCCAATAGGATTCGAATTTAGATCGAGTCCTATTGGATCAGACATGAATATTGTCGGATCATATTCGAATCCAATCCGATCCGTTTGCATCCCTATCCCTATTGAAGACCTCTGCTTGCTTTGAAGTAGCCTTTGGATTCTCTGTTCAAGAGGATTGAAAACCAGGTTGAGCTAATGCATCCTTTCATCAACTGTAACCATTTAGCACCAAAGCCCCTCAGTTTCAGAACTTGAAGGAGCCAATCCCAATCAACTTTGTTATATGCCTTTTCAAGATCTAGTTTGACAAGAATGTCCGACCTGCCACTCTTCCTTCTCTCTTTGACACTTTTCTTTGCTATTAGGATGCTGTCCACAATTTGTCTACCTTTCACAAAGGCAAACCGATTAGGGGGGACCAAATCTCCTAGGACTTCTGATCCTTTTTGCCAATTTTCCAAGATTTTGTACACTCCCTACTAAGCTTATTGGCTTGAAATTCTTTACATCCAAGACACCTCCTTTCTTCGGGATGAGACAAATAAAGGTCGAGTTATTACCTTTATTTACAACAGCCGAAGAGTGAAACTCCTTAAAAACCTCCAGGAGATCATCTTTTACCATGTCCCAACATATCTGAAAGAAGAAGATAGGAAAACCATCTGGCTCGGGGGCTCTATCTCCATCCATGTCGAGTACTGCTTCCCTTATTTCTTGCTCCTGAAATTCTCCTTCAAGCCAGTTCCTCTTTTCTTCTATTAAGTAGTGTCTGTTATCTCGTCTGCATCTTCCACTTCCCTTTGGTCCACTTTAATTTTTGAGATATGGTTTTTCCTGCGCCTTCCTGAAGCATAATTGTAGAAGAATTTTGAATTATTTTCACCTTCCTCTAACCATTTGATCCTAGAGCTTTGTGTCCTGTTGGAATAATGTTAAAATAACTTAGTTGCAGATGTTAGGGCCTGTTTGGCTAATTAAAGTGTTTTTTTATTTCTGTTATGTCTGTTATTGTACTCAGGGGCACAAGGGTCTTTTCCCTTGTTATTTCTATCGCCCTATATATAGTAAAATAAACACTGGCGCCGCCAGGACTGTTACATTGCAAACCTTCTCTCTTCTCTCCTCTC